ATGATGGTGGTGGTGGTGGTGATGATAGTGATGGTGGTGGTGGTAGTGGTGATGATGGTGATGATGGTGTTGGTGGTGAAGTGGTGGTGGTGGTGGCGGTGGAGGTGGTGGTGATGATGGTGATGATAATGATAATAGTAATAATAAATTCTTAATGCCATTATATCCTAAACTAAATGCAATTTGGAGCATATAGAATCATACCAAAATCATTTAACAGGCTGTACTGTGAAGGAACCGACGAAAAAAGAAGACACGTTCACGATAGGCCTTTATAAATAGGACCTTAATGCTGATGAAAGACGATGATCTTCATAAGAGATTGTTGGGACGTAATTTGCTTGACACCATTTATTACTACACGCGTTTCATAACTTAAATAAACAAACGGGAGTGCACGAAAGGAGCCTCCCCGCACGCCAAAAGTTTACACTGTAGAGGTGGACACGCTTAAATTAGAGTTTTGGGACCCTGTTGGGCACAGCAAAAACACACGGAGAGGGCGTTTAAACATTTAACAAATAAAATCTTCAAAAACTTTTTAAAAAACAAAATGCAATTTATACAAAAAGACAATTCTTAAATCTCAAATAAAAACCATTGCAATACTATATTATTATTTTGAAAGATGAATAAATATCCATATATGCTATTAACAAAGAAAATAAAAGTAAAAAGGCAACAATCGGCGCGTACCTTATTACAAAAAGAAAATAAATAAAGAAACTGGTATCAATGAATGACTTGAAAGTCTTCTACTCTAAATTCCTAAACCATCACGAAGTCAAAGTCAAAGTCAAATATTATTTATTCCATAGGTAAATTAAATTTACACTTGAAAACGTCACATTTAAGCTACTGCTCGTTCACTGCGCTGACCTCCCTGAGAAGAACGAGTAAGAAACTCTAGGGATTGCTCTTTTCAAATAAACGTAAATGCTATGGAATACACTTTGAATCAAATTTGTGTGGTTTCTGGTGCCGTGTCGTCTTTCCATACATCTTTATCTAACACGTAGTCTTCAATTTTGTAATATGATTTTTCGATCAAAATATTTTCAATGTAGTTTTTAAACTTAGGACATGATAAACTTAGTATATGCTCCTGAATCTTATTGTAAAAACGTATACAGTTGCCCAGAAAAGAGTTGTTTACCTTGGTTAAACGAAATCGTGGTACCATGAGTTTGGACTTAACTCTAAGGTTAATATTATGGATATCTTCTTTCTTATTGAAATTATGTATATTTTTACGGGCATATAAAATATTTGAGTAAATGTACTGTGATGCCACAGTCATGATACCAGTCTCCTTAAACTTTTCTCTCAAAGAAACCCGAGAGCCTAGACGGTACACAGAACGAATCGCTCGTTTTTGCAATACAAATATGGTTTGAATATCTGCTGCTATACCACACATGAGAATCCCGTAGGACATTATACTATGGAAGTAACTAAAGTAAACTAGTGTAGCAGTACTAACATCGGTAAGCTCACGTATTCTGCGAACTGTGTATGCAGCGGAGCTTAATCTGTAACGATTTATTACTAATGGTTGTGAATAAAGCGAGACCTGAGACCCGAAAAGAGCAGCGCTTGCAACAAATAACGAACGGAGTCAGCGGGTCGAAGTATCAATATTTGCGCTGTAGCGAGCGCCGCGCCCCGCGTACAGCCCGTAGGATCTTAACCACGAGTTCAGGCCGACTAAAGCTTGACGTCATGAATGGAGAGCTAGCCAGCAGTGCAGCATACGAATCGTCACCCTATCTGGTGCTCAACCCAAGTCAATGTAAAAATAATATAAAATATTAAATACCAGTTCGTTAATTTAAAAAAAAACCTTTTTTTTACACATACGTTGCGAAAATAAAGCTATTGTAAGGTATCCGTTATACGTCTTTTTAAACGATTTCAAAAAAAGAGAACGTACTCGTTTTGTGTGATTTTTTTGGTATGTTAAGCGATTACTCCGATGTTTGTGAACCGATTTCGATGGTTCTGTTTTTTTGTTGGAAGTGGGTACCTCAGTAGTGGTCTCATTCAAATTTGAAGAAACATTCCATCTCTAAGGGTGGCAAATTACGTAATGAATCCGGTTTATTCCAATTCACCTACTTTCCGTTAACTGATTTCTATAAAACTTGGCATTGGATGTTGGTGTGTCGTAGAACACTTTTCTAAAATAAAATGCACGCTTTTGCTACTTTTATATTACTTTTTGTTACTAGCATACGTAACCACGTAATACAAGTGGTCATCTTCTATAAGTACGTGTCATTTTGACATTTATCAAAAACCGGATACATCACAATATACTCCCTCTCATAAATTCAAACGTAGAGGAGCCTTCCTCACCCTCTGTAAACGCCGAACTGGTGTGGAAGCCACCTCTTTACAAATAAAATCATTTACATTTTTGGTTACAATATTCTCCTGCTCTATGTATACAGGTTCAACGTGTACATTTTCAGACTCTACATTTACAGGCTCTACATTTATATTTTCAGTCTCTACATTTACATTTTCATACTCTCCATTTTCAGACTCTACATTTACTTTTTCAAACTGTACATTTACATTTTCAGACTGTACATTTATATTTTCTTTCACGTTAGTATTTTGGGATACCGAACCTACAATTTGGTCTATATGTCTCTTTGAAATTAGATATCCTCCGACTACTTTACATAAATAAGTTCTTTGTCCCAAAGCTTCGTCAATGATACAATTTCACAAATTGTTTTTTGTTTAGATGTCTATAATCCGTAGAATAAACCTCTTCCCCTTCTTTAAATACCACATCTCTTCTTTTACTCTTTTCCATCATTCCTTCCTTCCCTTGCTCCTTAAATGCTTCTCAATTTTCTTTGAAACATAAGCTGAGATGGAGAAGTACCAGTAGAAACGTGAATTGAATTTCTATAGTGAAATAAATACCGATTCATTATGGTTTCAAAAGATTTATTTGCATTTTTCTTGTCTTTTATCTTTTTTGAAGGCATTCAACACACCCAACTTAAAACTTTTAACAGCATTTTCAGCAAAGCCGTTGGTGGATGGGTGGAATGGTGGAGTAGTTTCCTGTTACCATTTTTGCTAAGATATTCAGAAAATTCTCTTGAACAGAATGTAGTAGCATTGTCTGTAATAACCTTTTTTGGTAAGCCGTATTTAGAAAACCATTTCTAAATTTTTCAACAGTGCTATTTGCATTTATACTTTTCATAATAAACGCTACTGCCTCCGTGGCCGAACGGTTACCATGCCGGACTGCCACGCAGAGGTCCCAGTTTCGATTCCCGGGCCGGGAGAAATATTTGTATGGCCTACAATTATTTCTCTCGTGAGTTTGGGTGTAATTTGTGGTTGTCTATATATGTGGTCATGGCTCCCGCGACACAGGGTTTCCCTAGTGC